TAAGCTTAGGTATATTAGGCAACACTCTTTAGCTAGAGGGGGCTAAAAAGCCCGATGGTATTGCGTACAGGGTTAAAATGGTACCCATGGTACCCATACGCATACAAGGAAGTGATGGGATGATGATTTATTCTATCGTTAATGGTAACTGGGCTGTTGTATATAGTGTGACCACTGTCAGCTTCTTGTTGATCTCGTACACTGTTTGGGAAACCTGATTCAGATTGATCTGTCACGTGACGAAAGAAAGTTCACAGATATGCACAACAATTGCATCTGAAGGATGGAATCTCTGAGATATAAAAGAATAAATTGTTGCCTTCTTTGTTCCGTTCTCTGTAGGCGTTCTGTTCGCAAACGATTCGGGTGGAATCCACACCGCGTGTTCTATTTAACCATCCAACGGATTTGGAAAAAGAAATTCTCCAAGTAATTCCACGTGACTGATCCTCAAACCCTTTGCCAGTAGATCTGATCAGGATGTGGGCAAATTTAGTTTGCGTGCGTATGTATGTTTGTATCGACCTTGTCAGGCTGTATCCGAATAATATTGACAACATAGACCATTCTCTGTTCAATAAATGTTGACTATTTTTGTTTTTGCTGGTTGGACTTATTTTGTAGAATATGATGCCACTGTCTGTGATGTGGGTTGCGTCACTTAATTGACAATTACTCAAAAGGAAAGGTTTGAGGAAATCGTATTATTATGAAATATCGAAAGAGAGAAATTAACCCGCATTGTTTAGGACAAAATAAGCTTACCAAGTGCAAGCCCTTATCATTTATACATGTCATGAAAAAGAACGATGCATTTGCAATATCGATGGCGATGAGTGAAAGTAGTTTTTCGTTGGTTAAATATCGCAGTATTGCTCCTTGTTTATTGTTACACTTTGTTATTGTTATGACAAATCAAGGTCATTTGAAACATGAGGCACTGAGTTCCCTTTGTCCATTTCATGGATACAAAAGGAAGACAAACGTCGCGAGCTGGTAATACTTCACCCAATCTTCTCAGTCGCTGACTTAAAACAAACAGACATATATATATAGCACATGGGGTTGATCAATTATGGTCAGGTCAGGTATCACAGGACGGAAAAGACTTTCGCCAACCAAGCGTTCAGATTCGTGCTTCTGTAGGGAAGTTTCTTCTCCCAAAGTTTCAAACTCGCTTCAGTCACTGTCTTGCAATTGGTTTCCGGCAAGAAAACTGGTTCCAATACGATATCTGTGAGGGAGATTAGTCGGGAATCAAGGAGCATATCAACTGTAAACAACCTCAAACCCTGCTGCAATAATACCTCTGGGTACAGTTCGGTCCAAACCATGTCTAACAGCCTCTTGAAGTCGACTGTAGTCGCACATTTCATCAGGTGCGGTGGTAGCTGATTCCACTTATCAACCACTCAGTTGGTGTAGAAGTTGAACCGCCCACCAAGGCGAGCCCTTGGTTTCAAGAGCTTTAAACTGTGTCCCCTGGTCAACTCTACGGTCGTTCGAGTGAACAAACTTTCGGGGCTTACGGCAGTAAATCCCTTCGTTATCTTAAATGTTTATATGAGTTCACCCCAAAGGCGTCTTCTGTCCATAGAAAATAGGTCTAAAGCCTCAAGTCTTTCTTCATATGACTTGTCCCCCATGCCCAAGATAATAATAATAATAATAATGAGTGTATATTTCACGGAGCCCCGTGAGGCATGCATAGGCATGATCAAATGTACAACATAATCCTCCGTACAGGAGAGGCCCAAAATGGGG